GATCTTGATGCCCCACACCACAGACAAATGGCAAGACAACAATTGCAGATTTAGTAAGTGTTAATTAGTAGTAATACACAGTGGGTATCTAAATCAGAGGAGTTCAGGCACTGAAGGAATGGAACGCATGAATGCGTTCCAAAACGGAATTACCCGCAAACTGTAATTTACACAAGTATTTATAATGGACATGGACTGGGTATATGACTAGAGAGCCAACTGAGGAAGCCACAACAGGCGAAACGCGTATTGGCTTAATTGATATTTTATCTTTTCATTATTTTATATATTTTTTATGTAATATTCCTTAATAAATTTAGCTTTTTATTATTCCACTTATCGGATCCTCTCCTATTTATTGGAAACATTTCTATTGGATATACCAACCAGCCACAGAAGGGCTAGGATCACCTTGGAATAGATCCTGGATCCATCAATACCAGAGCCAGGTTCTATATTGGCTCTGATTTTGTGAGTGTTTCCTTGCACATATTTTTCTTAAAGTATTTATTGTTAAGTTGTCTGCACTATTTTGTGTACTTCTCTATCTCCACAGCATTATATTGAGAAGAGAGGAGAGAGAAAAAAGTATATGCTCCATCCATTGTGTTTGTATTGTACTTCCTTAAAGGGCACAGTACCTATCATGCCCAAAACAACTTTTGCTCTTTTATAAAGAGCATCAAGTTTCATCTATACATTGTGTTAGCAGAAAGGGAGGAATGTAATAGCAGAGTTTAGGATTGGGAGAAATACATTTTTAAAAATAAGTTTTTTTTTCCCACCCGTCAATCAATTCTACAGCTTAGAACGCCAAATAATTGATTGATAAGGAAGAACAAAAGGGACCTCCCACAGACTGCCCTTCTGCTCTTCACCTATAGCAACCACAGTACATGCGCAGTGGTTGCTATGGAAACTCCATAGCAAACACTACTGGCGCTGTTTGGGGAGTATAGGAATGGTGTGAAGTCATTTCAAATGCTGGCATGCTGGCGATGAAATCAGCATGCCAATGTCAATGGAGGAAGTTTAGCTTCCTTTGGCTAGAGTCCTCAAGCAGGGCAAATTAATGAAGACCGAGAGATGAATGAAGGGTGCTACAAAAGTGGCAGGTTCTCATAAAGGGGTATAATACTGTAAGAGTTTCACTAAATACCATGCAATCGAAACCTTAACGCTGTGCATCAATGACAGGAAATTATATAGAATTCCATGTGAATTTCAAATATGGACGGAATGCTATTTGCTGTGTCTCGAGATTAAAGACATATTTTTGGGAAAATTATTGATCCATTCATGATCAGGTAGAAAAAGACCTCTTGCACTGCTCTACTTCCCAATTTTGAAAATATATATTTTCAGTTCATCATGCTGCATTATTTTTTTAAAAATCCACCATTAACATCACAAGTAAATTTCAGATTTAGATTACAAAAAATACAAAAATTGCACCTTGTACCACACTAAAGGAAATTCCACAAAACGTGAAGGAATCAAATCAAAGAATGTGATTTATCATAAGTAAAAAAGAAATGTGAAGGAAAACTAAATATTATATGGGCATTTAATATTTCAGCCCCATTTAAAAAAATAATAATAATAATAATTAAAGCACCCTTAGTCTTAATATAATCCAGTGCCGGGACAGACTCCTCACTATAGCCCGATCTTCTAATCTTTGTTAGCTGAAATTTAATTAAGAATTTTAATCACCTACTTTAATCCCTCTCAGCACTGCCCAATCATCACCTTTTATTTAAGGTAATTATTGCTCAGTCTCTAGAACGCCTTTTTATTATAAGAAATAGATTTTGATGTTGATATGCATTTCAATGTTGAAAATAATCTAAGATTGCTCTATGAAACTGTCAGCTTTCGGGAAGGGATACATATATTTTTTCAGTTGTAGATAATAAAGTGCATGATTTTATTATGTACAGGAAAGCTCTGAAATTGATGCGTGGGCTCTTTCTAAATGTCCTTTGAAATAGCTAATTGGCGAATGCATGGACCATAATACATTCTATTTAATGTTTAAAGAAAGACTAAAAGGAAATCTCTAAATATCCTAGTTGCTAATCAGTAAATTAATAAGCCGAACAAGCCTGCAAATTTATACAAGGATTACGGGGCAGACTTTTTACCTGAATAATAAGGCTTTCATTATGGAACCTATTCATATTAAGATTTAATAAGAGCTCTTAGCTAGAATACTAAAGTGCAGTGAGGGAGTGAAAAGGGACAAGCTGGATGGAGTTGTAACTGTTAATATTCCCTGTAATGTTTTCAACTCCATGGGATTTCAATGGAAAAGACAATTTAGAATGTTCACCAAAGCTTTTTTTAGAAACACTATATTGAGAATAAAGGACCATTCCACAGGTAAAATTACGAAGAAGATAAAAAATTAGTAGATATACCACAAATTAATACACGCATGCATTTTTCATGAATATATTCATTGGAGGTATATCTTACAATAGCTTATGAACTTTCAGTCTATTCTCACTTAGAGGCTTCTGAAACCATCCCCTGTGCCAGTGTGTGCACCTGTTCGTGCCTGATAACACACACGCTGCTTTCTAAGAAGAGGTATGAGGAGGAGAGGCAAGCACGCTCTAGTAGAGTGCGACAGTCATTATTGTTAGCTCAGGGGAGCTAACAGAAGCAATCAGAAACCTCTCTGGTTTTTAATTGAGTGGTGTATTTTGCAGTGGTGTATTTATGACTAACCTTCGGGAATCCTCCTATTTAAATTTGCCCAATCCCTTTCTGTCAAGGCCACACCTCTTCCTGTTTAAGACCAGCATGCACTTTAACTGACAAGCGCATTCACTGATACATGCCCTGACATACACTCACTGACAGGTACTCACTTTTTGGTGCTAAATAGTACATTAGTGGGGTGCACTTCATATCTGAGAGTCAAATAGAATCGTCAAATACTGCTGTCACATTGCAGTTTTAAAACTTGAAATTTTTTGGGTGCTAAACTGCTAAATAATATTTTAGTGGGGTGCACTTCATATCTGAGAGTCAAATAGAAGTGTGAAATAGTGTGCTTACTGCGCAGTTGTAAACATTCTAATTGTTTTGCTGCTAATCTGCTAAATAGTACATTTTGGGGTCTGCTCTTCAAATCTGAGAGTCAAATCGAAGCGTCTAATAGTGCGCTTACAGCGCAGTTGTAAATATTCTAATTGTTTTGCTGCTAATCTGCTAAATAGTACATTTTGGGTGTGCTCTTCATATCTGAGAGTCAATAGAAGCGTCTAATAGTGCGCTTACAGCTCAGTCAGTGGCGTACATACCAGGGTCGCAGGGGTCGTGGCTGCGACCGGGCCCGGCCCACCAGGGGGCCCGGCCGCCCCTGCGACCCGGTATGTATGCCACTGGGCCAGCCTCTTCCCCTGGGGGGCTCATGAGCCGACCCATGAGCCGCCCATGAGTTATCTGGTAGTTTCTAGTGTAGAAAATATCAGTCTGTTTTCTATCACTTACATCTGTGTAACAAGTGTTGTAGGCATGAAACAATATTACAAGTGGCTGATGTAGTAAATTCAAATCAAAGTTACGCTTCAATTTGACTCTCACATATGAAGAGCAGGCCCCAAAATGTACTATTTAGCAGATTAGCACCCAGAAGATAAGAATGTTTACAACTGCGCTCAGTGGCGTACACATGACCCATGGGGCCCCGGTGCGAAAATTGATCCGTGGGCCCCCCCTGCTCCCCCTTCCGGCTCATCTTCCGGCTCCGGTATCAGTGCGGTGCGCGAGGGAGCTGAAAAGG